GTCAATATGGTATGTACAGGTGTACAATCGTGCAAATACAAAAACTGGTCCAAAGAAGGCCAGTTCTGGAATCGGGGGAATTGGCGGCCGGCAGAGCTCATGTTGAACCTCTGTGGCCTCATTGATGCGGCGACGCGAGGCGGCTCCCCGCCTCCGTGTAGACGATAGCTGACACTGTCGGCCTGCGGATTGGCAATCTTCCGCACCTCAGCGGTGGATGACGCAGACACGCGCCATGGGGCGCGCCTGCGCAGATGCAACATGTCGTCCTTCTGTGCACAACATCCAAAATTGGCCTTGGGAATGACGGCCTCTGATTTGGATAAAGGTTCACCTTCTGTTATGTAAAGCGAAAGGGTGCTCCGAAACGACGACACCTTCTCTTAATTGATGTTGCATAGTATGGCATAGTCTCCACCATCCACTGCCACTCCAGCTGTGGAGGAACAAAGAGCAAAGTCCGAGTCGCGCTAGATGTCTCCAAAATGCTACATCCGCGAAAAAAATAAATGTCTACAATGTCTACAGCAGTCTCTATACTTACAAGAACAGGGAGTTTGAATCCAGCCAGTTTTAGAAATTGAGAACCCTGTCATGCTGTCAGACGGCTGGTTTGGACAACAGCCGCGAATGCGAATGCGACCTACACAGCTGCAAATGGTACCCTTTCCTTTCCTTATCAGTTGCAAGTCACAAAGACTCTGTGCTAGGCTAGTTGACCTGAAGAGAACAGCAATAGGTTTTGATGGAGCCTCCTTTTGGGGGTTTGACAGTGTTCAAGGTTCAATACACAACTCCTGCATGCAACAACTATGCTTCAACAGTCAATGGGTTTACAGGTTTACACAGATGCTACACTAGACTGGAGATAAAGCAACCCTTCGGGCAACAAACAACACAACAGGGTATCTATGATGGGAAGAAAAAGCACGCATTCAAACCATTCATGCAAAATCCAGAAGTCCTCCGCGAGAGGAGAACTGCCAAACATCATACTAAATGCCACGGTAACTGGTGAGAGTTCATATACAACATGAATTAATGTACAATATGAATACTTATGAATATACAATATAATTACTGTAAATGCCTGATAATTAATATAAACATAAGCAATTAGTGCATTTATGTGCATGTTCCCTTTCAAATGAGGCCCTTCTCTTTTTTCCAAGACAGGCTGCTTTTCCCGAACGCTCGTAGAGTGCAGCCCCATCCTGGCGCGTCATGTTTGCACGGGCCATCGATGGTCCAGGAGTGCAGAGGATCGCGGTCGGTCTTTTTTCCACCCGACGTCCACGGTGACGTCGGGTGATCAACGTCTTCACACCGAACCGAGGCTTTGGAGTGATCTCGACGGCATCCACCGGCATCCATGTGGATGGATGGACAATCTTTGGTGGCCCGGCATTTCAGGCTCAAACCGAAGTCGGAAATGGGTCCGGTTCTGAAGAGGTACTGGTGACCATATGATTGAACCCTTGTTTAAGGCATCATAGCCATCCCTGGATGAGACATCAAGCTGTTCCAACATCTTCGGTCATTTGGGGGTAAACTATTAAGCATAGTGTAGGTGTAAGACATAGATCGGACCATCGTTTCCTCCTGTTCTCGTACAGGTTTGATCCATCCACAGCTGAGAACACTCAAGGCGACAAGTCTCACAGATCCACTCTCCTCGTATTGTTCGAAGTAAGGGATCTTCAATTCCTCTGCCAGTTGGAAGACCTGCAGGAAGGAAAGCAATCCGTGTAGCTAAGCATGCACATGCGAGTGTGCGGCATCGATGGAGCTGGTCAGCTCAAAGGAAAGCCTTTATGAATTCATAAACCAAAGGCCTTAAGGGATATTTGATTTGGCATGACCTAGTAGTATACGATATACTAGTAACGAATGCTCCCTTCGTAGCAAGGCCACGTTCGCCCCGTACTCCCTCAGTTCGGACCAATCGCTTCACCGAACGGGTCCACCTGCTGTGTTAGTAGAAACCCGTTTCTTTTTCCCCAAAAAAGAAAAAGGGAGTGTAAAACGAGTGTTTTCCTAGCCACTGGCCTTCGGGTTTCTATCAGCGGAACCGTCCCATCCGAAGCAGCGTGGCGGCCCATCAGATGTTCATCACTGTTCATCAGATGTGGAGCTGGAGGTGTCTACCATGTCGACATGGATGCCTATTGTCTAGCAGACCAGCATGCAATTTCTGACACCTGGTCTCCACCTGCCGGTCGACAGGGATGCGGAGACTCCCCCAACCTTTTTGAATAAAACACCGTCCGTCAAGGAAAACATTTTGTTCATGGCGTCATGGAGCTCTCGTGACTAGTATATATACAATAGATGCACATGCAAATATATTATTTACATTATTACTGCTATATATTTTATATTACGCCACGGGAAAATTTTATTCTCTTTTATATGGTCAATGTTTCCTTAGAAATACGCAGTGGTGCCACGCCTCCTGGTGCGGTGGCCAAAACCATGCGGGGCCCAGATCATAGTGGCCTGGCAAATCTTTTGTTTACAGAAAAAACTTGTGAACACGGATGAACAACTCTAAAGCCAAAACCTTCAGTTATTTAGCGAGATATTACGAGTGCTTGTTGGATCAAGTCCTGTTGAAGTCCGCTTTCACTTTCACCGTGTCCGAACATGGCGTTTGATCCACGTGTCCGACCTGCGCCCTCGTCTTGCACAGTCCAAATCCGGCCACCCAGCCCTTGGGAGTCACGACTTGTTTCTGCGAATCGAATCAAGGGAATGAAGATTTACTACGTACATCACTGGCCATCCACCTGAGCAGGGACGCTTGAAAAGGCCTGTTTCTTGCGGTGCATATCTGACAAGCACATACCAGTACCATCTGCGCCCACCACGCCCAACTCACACAAATGACAAAAATCAAGTGATTCGAGATGCTCCTTTTTGGCGGGGTCAACCCCTGCAAAACTGATGATTTAAGCCAAAACAGTGATTGACCAAAATACACAAACATGTATCACATACTGTAAACAAGTCTATAAGCTATGGTCTGCCCATGTCCGAAACAACTTGATTGGATGCCGGTGTCTTCGTCACCGGGTTCCATGGGCGTGTGTAGGCCACCCGGTTCGAACGGAGGCGCAGGAAGGGGCACTGGAAGCCTCTTGTAACAAGGGTGCAGTAGGCCTTTTCATGCGTCCTCTTTCTGGTCCTCTTTGCGCCTATACAAGCAAGAATGGACACCTTTGAGATGCCCAGCGATCCAAATCCAACTCTAGTACTTGAGGAATGCGGGTACTGTAGGTATTGGTGGCTTTTTCTCAAAGAGTACCCCAAACATTGGTAGAGGGATTCGTAGTCTTTCCATGGAGCCATACGCTAAAGCATGGATAAACACTGATGTATCCATGATAAACCATTGTTTGTGGATTAATTCAAGGTGTACGTATGTATATATCGTGGTATATCTTCCTTATCCATGATAAATCATGACGGTTGGATTTGGACAACGTACTTTCCCCAACGTTCTCCTTTCAAACAAAGTGGACAAACCAAGCAATGCCAAGCATCGGGGCCGCGCTTCCAGCAGGAGCACATCCAGGTGCTTGAGCTGTCGGAAGGCCACTAAGCCACATAGGCCCCCACCCACAATCAGCACGTCATGCATGGCTGGACAGTGCGTGTTTTCGCACGCCGTGAAGGCAAGTGACAGCGAAACCGTTGGTTTGAATGAATGGGGTCTAAAGCTCTACAGTAAATAGGCAGTGGATTTGAAACTCTTGTCTTGACATGTTAGCATGTAGCCACAAGCTGACAATCTTTGCCGTCGGACCAAATAGCCTGCATGTGTTGAGTCAGAATTGATGAGCAAAATCCAAGTCGACTTCACATACCTCTACCGCCTCTACCAGTTCCGGGAGTGTCATGAAGCAAGGAGGTCAGTGGAGTTGGTTTGGCACATGTCCAACCTACTGTACTGTAAGTGTGATCGATTTGTTGCTGCTTGGCGGCTTGGCGGCTTGACCGGACTGGTGCCTGAGAAACTGAGGCTAGTGTGCACTTGCTTCGTCTTCCCCACCGGTCTTCCTCGCATCTTTCTTAAGGCCAACAGCTGCAAGGGCGACGCTGAACCACAGAGATGGCACTTATTGAGTATGAAGGTTGGTGAAAACTGTGGTTTCCTCGGTCCAATCAACTGTGGGATTGGTTTTATCTTCCGTGACATCGATGTGGTGGATCCAGTAAGGAACCACAGCTTCTAGGTCACTTGCAGTCGGAGCCACATCTGTTCCGATCTGGGACCTCAAAACAGCGTGAATCTCTTTAGGTGTCCTGACATTCGCTTCTTCTTCAAACCCCAAAAGTGAAATAACCTCCCTTTTTCTGGGAGGGAGGTATCTTTCTTGAAAACAAGAAACATGTTTGTGCAATATTGAGCTTTCCCAAATTGGATTCTTGATTGAGTTTGAGGTCTGTCTTCATGCTCCATACCAGCACCCCTCCAAGAGGCTGTTTTGGACCCCCCAACTGCCTCTTGCCACCAGGAAACGGTATTGTATGAGCTACGGCCGCCCAAACCTGGTAGACAATCCCTTATGCTGGATGGTGCAATTCCCACGAAACCATCCATTGGGGAGTGACATGTTCGCCGCTCATACAACCTTTTAGACGACCGGGTGACGCATCGATCGCCAGTGACGCATCGAAGCGAGCACGAAGCGAGCAGGGCTCTCCCACTCGCTGCATGGCGCTGGCTTTGGAGATGGGAGAGACCAGCAAGGACTCCACATGCGTGCGGGGATTGTAAAGCCTTGGTTGAAAACGTGGACGGAAGACCCACCGATAAAAGAGATATATAAGGAAAATTAAAAAAGGTCTGAGACCTCTCACCCACGGGTTGCATGATGTTGCAGGAACCCCACCAACCAACATGCATGTTCCACATATTGAAATTTGTTAGATCTAATTATGGGGTCTGAGACCACTAGCTAGACGAGGATTATCCCAATATGGTAATATGGCAACGAAGATTCTTTGCACAAAAAGCGTTGGCATGGGGACTTGAAGTCACTTGCGTCTGCTTTTTTTGAGGTTCCAAGTTTGTTAGCAGGAGCAGCAGCAGCAGCAGGAGTAGGACGTAGGAGTAGTAGCAGTAGCAATTAGTAGTAATAATCAATAGTAGTAATTAGGAGTAGTAATTAGTACTAATAATAAATAGTAGTAATTAGCAGTAGTAATTAGTAGTAGTACTTAGTAGTAGTAATTAGTAGTAGTAATTAGTCGTAGTAATTAGTAGTAGTAATAATCAATAGTAGTAACTAGTAGTAGTAATTAGTAGTAGTAAGTAGTGGTAGTAATTAGTAGTAGTAATTAGAAGTAGTAATTAGTAGTAGTAATTAGTAGTTGTAATTAGTAGTAGAAATTAGTAGTAGTAGTAATTAGTAGTAGTGATCAGTAGTCCTAATTAGTAGTAGTAATTTGTAGTAGTAATTAGTAGTAGTAATTAGTGGTGGGAATTAGTAGTAGTAATAAGTAGTGGTAATTAGTAGTAGTAACTAGTAGAGGTAATTAGTAGTAGTAATTAGTAGTCGTAATTACTTTTAGCAATTAGTAGTAGTAATTAGTAGTAGTACTTAGTAGTGGTACTTAGTAGTAGTTCTTAGTAGTAGTTCTTAGTAGTAGTACTTAGTAGTAGTAAGTAGTAAGTAGTAAGTAAGTAGGTAGTAGTAGGTAGTAGGTAGTAGGTAGTAGTTAGTAGTTAGTTGTTAGTAGTTAGTAGTTAGTAGTTAGTAGTAAGTAGTAAGTAGTTAGTTAGTAGTTAGTAGTTAGTAGTTAGTAGGTAGTAGTTAGTAGGTAGTAGGTCGTAGGTCGTAGGTCGTAGGT